TGGCATTAAGTGAAAATTGGAATATCCTTGGTGTATTGTGTAAATTTTTATGAGTATTTGTAAATTCGAGGCCTCATATCCTTTGATTGACATGTGGGCTCTTTGACCCCGCATGTCCTTTCTTCCCTCCAAAGGATAGGAAGTTGGTGGTAGGGGTGGTCACAGACTCGCCACTCACCACCACCGCTACTTTTTTTAAAGGAGTATAGATAGATGTCTTAACATGTGGCCTGCTTAAGGATTTAAAGACTTGCTTTAGATAAAGCCCAATCAAATTGCACTATAATTGTGTGGTAATACTATCTTTGCTTATAAATACACAACATTATTGACTTTATTAAAATAAACTATGTAAATGTGATTTATTTTGTTGCGATTTGTTTCATCGTTAAAGATACTTTATGATGAATGATCAAACTCATGTATAAAAGTTAACAAGGTTGTATATTTTAAAACAGTGGGATTACTATTAGAATTTGGTAACTACTCAAAATTTGAAAGTGCCCAACCTATTCAATGAAAAAAAATAGCAATATGTAAAATTTGACATTGTACTAGGTCTTAAACTAAATAGGATCACAAAGTTATGTTATTCAACTCAAAATTTGTTTTCAAGTTGATATAAACCGTATACACAGATTGAGATCTTTTGTATTAGCACTTGCTTAAGGCAGAGTTGGCATTAGCCCCAAGGGCTCTTTGATAGAAGGAAAATCGTAGTAATTTCGAAGGGTTGCCATCCTTAGGAAAAAAAATCTATAAGGGCATGTTCAATGGTAGAGACGAGTATGGTGTCTTAAACAAGATTATTTAAGATTATTTATAGACCGTATGTTTACAATAGTTGATACGACAAAGGCTTTAATGATTAACTTAAAAAATATTCCTTCTATTAATATTCTTTCCATTTTTTTACACTCATGCAACCATATTTTTATATTATAGTGATTAAGAGCCGTTGTTATGCATAACAATGATGTTTTTCTCTCTTTCTTTTTCTTCCATGTCAACAAGTATTTCTAATTAGCACCGCTAAGAGACCACTATTGATAACCATTGTACATGCCCTAACAACATTTGCAACAAAGGAATTGCAATAGCATCTCACGAACTGCAATTCCTACGCATTCGTTATGCAGTAAATTTAGCATAAGCTCACACATCATATTTCATTTTGTTTTGTTTAGTCCAATGCACACTCCATTTGATTTCCTCCAGATTCCTGTGAACCATAAACATCCAGCGTCCCTTTAGAATCTTGTAGTATTGTGTAGCATATGACTATATTTCTACGGTTTTCCTATTCGTGCGTTTTAAATTTTTTTTGAATGTCTTAAAAATCATATCGTCCAAAGATACTTAGGGTGTGTTCTAAAGTTGTTTTGAAACAGATTATTAGCCACACACAAAACGAGAAATAGATTTATTGAGTGTTAATTATTAAAAACTTGAAAAACGAGTTTAGCAACTTCTATATAGAAAGTTTTGTACAAAATGCACCGTTTAACAGTTTGAAAAATGTGCTAATAAAAATCAAAGAAGTGCCCTAGCCGAAATGTAGTTTAGAACATGGCTTAAGCCCTCTATCCCTTTGTGAGTATGATTATGAATTTGTGACCACCGCCCCTTTCTAGTGTTTTGTGTATGTTAGGAGGCACGCTTCTGAGTATGCATATGGTAAATGTGTATAGCGTTATGTGTATTTATGTATCTTCTATGTAAAAAATAAAACTTATATAAGACTCAACATGAAAAAGAAGTGCATTTGGGGGCTCTGCATGATTGAGAAAACAGAGAAATAGAAAATGCATAGAATTTTGACATGCAGACAAGCGCAAACAGAGGTTTGTAACACATAGTAAAAATACAGGAAATATCGTTTGGTTGGACCATATGAAAAACATAGGATTTGGATGAGAAAGATATATTCATAGGAAACTATTTATGAAGTTGAACATCATATTAAAAATTATCCAAAACTTGTATTAATTGAGGTATCCCTTACTCCCCCGTTTCAGGTTATATGAAAAAAAAACTTTGGTCAAAGCCAAACTGCTTCAAGTCTGACTAAGTTTATAGACAAATATAGTAATATTTACATTACCAAAATAGCTTTATTAGATTAATAATTAAACATATTTTTATAATAAATTTATCTTGGGTCGAAAGTTTTACTATTTTTTTGTCAAACTTGAAGCAGTTTGATTTTGATCAAAATTAAAACATCTTATAACCTAAAACGGAGGGAGTAGAAATTTTATAGGATTTAGTAATTTTTAATTCTTTGTTTTAACGGAAATGCTATACCACGGGATACTGTCCCAAGTGCGTGGGACGGTATCGCCTCCTCCCGCACTATCTCCTTGAGCCATGTCTTCTCCACGTGCGTCACTGCTACTGATGGTGTGCCTCATATTGTTGTTACTCTGCTCCGGTGAGAGCTGTTGCTGATGCATGACTCCTGTTGCTGCTGTTGCTTTGCTCCGGCAAGATGATGAGGAGCGTTGACGACGCCTGGCGGGGCGAGACGGCAAGACAATGAGTATGTGCACGGCGAGTCGGCGGCAAGACGACATGATGATGGCTTCATGGTCGTGGTCGTTGCCTGCTCGTCGCTACCGCCTGTGACCGCGCCGATGCGAACGCTTGATGATGTGGGGGTGTGGACGGTGGAGGACGCGGCCTCAGCGATGAGCTCCGGTGTGGGGCATGGACAGTGGAGGACGCGGCCGCTGGCGATGAGCCCGGCGTGGGGCGTGGCGGAGGAGGACACGGCCGCTGGCGACGAGCTCTGACGTGGAACATGGATGGCGGAGGATGTGGCCGTGCCGGTGACGATCTCCGGCGTGGACCGTGGATGATGCCGCCGCCGGTGACAAGCTCCGACGTGAGACGTGAACGGTGGGATCACCGGCGACGATGCTTTTGGTGCCTGGCTCCTGATACTTTGCAAGTATCACCTAATACATGGTAGGAATCGCCAGATATCTGACATGTTTCACTTGATACTTCGCAAGTATCATCTGATACGTGGTAGAAATCGCTTGATACTTGACATGTTTCACCTGATACTTCGCTAGTATCACCTGATACGTGGTAGGAATCGCCTGATACCTGATAGATTTCACCTGATACTTCGCAAGTATCATCTGATACGTGCTAGGAATCGCCTGATACCTAACAGATTTCACCTGATACTTTGCAAGTATCACATGATACGTGGTAGGAATCACCTGATACCTTATAGGTATCACCTGATACCTCAGAAGTATCGTCTGATAAAGGTTAGGTATCATGACATGATACGTCAGAGATATTAGGACCTAATACCTAACCGGTATCATCCTGTCCCAACGGGATTCCATTGTATAGCAGCCCCTTGTTTTAAAGGGCTATATATGAGAAAAATTGAAAAATCTATACTATTGGAATCCCTACGTTTTTTTTTTCATGAAATCAAATGGGGCCTCAGATTAGTGGTGGGGCGCAGGGTGATGCACCAAACGGCAGAGGATCCGACTCCAAGCGTCCGGGATCTAGGAATCTAGCCGTGTGCCACTACTGGATTTTTCACATTTTGGTCCTTTTAAAAAACTTATTTCGCAAATAGACCCCTGAAAAAACTTATTCCAGAAATGGTCCTTTTTGGGGCGCCAGAGTGGCTGGCGCCGTCATCCAATGGGACGGCGCCAGCCTCTCTGGCGCCGTCCTCCTGCCACCGTGGCGCACGCGAACCGACGTGGCAGGAGGAGGGCGGCGCTAGCATGGCGCCGCCCCAGGGAGGAGGGCGCCAGCATGGCTGGCGCCGCCGCCTCCATTCCTGTTTCTCTGTATGGAGTTGCAACGGTGTCATTTTTATTTTATTTTTTCGGATGTTTTTTCACACTCAGGATCACGATACAACCAACCACAAAAAAAATTTAAACTCGAACTACCACTTAGCTAAGTCTGAAAATATCTAGCATACCACTTAGTCTACTTTGCACTTTCACTAAAATTAGACCATAACTCTTTTAATAAAACCCTTTGATCAAAACATAATGCACTCTACCACTATATGAAATTACTTAATCTAATTCAAAATATAACCACATGAAATGACATATATAAGTTAAACAGTACATAGAGATGCAATTTTTTTATTTTTATTTCATTTTTTGATATTTTTTTCACACTTAGGAGAACATAGGAACCAACCGTATAAAAAATAAACTCAAACGGATAAAATATGTGACATGTAGAATTTTCCAAAACTCTACCAAAATGGACAAAATATGTCATCTATTAAAATAGGCATAACTTTCTCATACGGACTCAGAATCAGGCAAATAATATATGCACGGACATCTACAGAAAAAGTTACATCCGATTCTCCCCGGCCTCGCCGGGTTCGGCGATACTAAAACCTCCAAATTCCGCTTGCAAGATTGTGTTTTCGAGGAGAGAAGTTTTTCGGTGGAGCTTTGGAAAATTCCATATGCCACATATTTCGTCCGTTTGAGTTTATTTTTTACATGGTCGGTTCCTGTGAGTTCCTAAGTGTGAAAAAAATATCAAAAAAATAAAATAAAAATTAAAAAGTTGCACATCTCTCTCCTCTGCACTAGTTCGGAGAGAGGAGAGGAGAGAAAAAATTCTACATGTCACATATTACGTTCATTTGAGTTCAATTTTTCTATGGTTGGTTCTTGTGTGTCCCTAAGCGTGAAAAAAATATCAAACAAATAAAACAAAAATAAAAAATTTCGGGGGGGGGGGGGGCGCCAGCCACTCTGGCGCACTCCCCCTAGCCACCTCAGCATCGCCCCGCCACGTCGGCAGGGGGACGGCGCCAAAGAGGCTGGCGCCGTCCTGTTGAACAACGGCGCCAGCCACTCTGGCGCCCCAAAAAGGACCATTTTTAGGATAAGTTTTTCTAGGGGTCTACTTGCGAAATAAGTTTTTTAAAAGGACCAAAATGTGAAAAATCCAGTGTGCCACTATGCCGGCTCTCTCGCATCCCTCCCCACCTGAGTGAGCTCCACCACACACACGCCAGTCGCCGCCGGCTTTTGCTTCCTCCGCCTCCGCCTCGCGATGGTAACCACCCACCACCTCTGCCTCCTCCGGTCGACCGTCCTCTCCGTTCCCGTCCGCCTCCGTGCACCCCGGGCTCCCCCTCACCCCCGCCTGCCCACCGCCTCCGCCTCCGCCTCCTCCTATCATGGGCCAACGCACCTCCGCCGCCTGCGGCCACTGCGCGCCGCCGCCGCCGCCGCCGGAGGAGCCTCGCCGGTAACGCCCTCCCCCCCGAACCGAGGAACACCCCTCCTCGCCCCCGTAAACTTCGTTCCCTTCCAGCTGCTGACCGAGAGTGGCCCCCCTCTCGCTCCTCCAGGATGGCGCTGATGGGGCCAAGCGCCCCGCGCCCGCGGCGGCGTCTTCCTCGCTGGGAGCCGCGCTGGTCGGCTTCGCGCGTAGCAACTTCCTCCCGCTAGGTGAGTTTTCTGCTTCTACGCGATCTCAGCTAGCTCGTGCATTGCTGCTGCTGTTGGGTGGACTTGTGTGTGGGACGCAGTGTGCCTTACAGGTAGATGTAGAGTTGCGAAATTTCACGGCCTAACATGGAACAATTGAAATTCCAATTCTCATAAATTGTAATGCAATAGGAGTATTACCTCCAGCTAGTTTACTTGTTAATGACCCTGATATTTCATTAGACAAGAGAAATGCTAGGGTAGACGGGTCCAGTTACCAAATTCAACAAGTTTCTGTGAACCCAATTATGCACTAGTTAGTTCCTCTGCACGTGCTTTTTAGTTGCTCTATGTTGCAAACTTGCAATGGAGATGATACCGTAGATGTGTCTGTGCATCCCTCAGACAAGCTCAAGTACATATTTTCTTAGCTTGTGTGTTTCTTATGTTAAGCTCTAATTGCTGGGATTGCTCTGGCCCTCATGGATCCTACACTCGGATGCCTTGCTCACAAATATTCACTGTCAAAGTACAGCACCTTCGGGATATTCCTTATCTCAGGTTAGTGTTTTAACCCAATTCATATATTTGTGGTGCTATGACCTCACACTAATGACGTCCTCTTGCATAGGACTGACTCTGCGAACCAAGGAACTTGGTGCAGCACTAGAAGCTTGGCCTGCAGGGCTTTTTGGACTTGTATGATCCAGTTTTTGTTCCATTACAATTGTACCTGTATGATCTAGTACTATTCTGATCTGTAAATGTATCTATGCTGAGAATAGTTCTTGCTTGCTGCATTGTGATCCAGCCATCCAGGATAGGGTTGCATATCACATTCATGCTACTGATTATTCAATTTACTTTCTAGCATTTAATTATTTAGCTGAGGTCACATGCTGCCTGTCTGATTTTTGTTAGAGATTCAAGTTCTTATGTTGTTATCGAGTGCCTAAATATGTTTGCTTAAATATTTATTGGTACATATTTTCATTCTTTTGCAGGCCTCAATCTTGCTGTTTACACCCTTTTTGGCTCAGTTTATTATGCAAATTAAGTTCTTCCCTCATGAATTTATCACTGGTATGTTGGCTCTCATTGTGTTCCCCATTTCCCTGTTCCTATTATATTATTTATTGTTGCAATGTAGTAACTCATGCCTTCATGTTATTTATAGCTTGTTTGCTTTGATATTGACAACACATCTCACAGGGTTGGCTATGTTTTGTTGCATGCCAACAACATTATCAAGTGGAGTCACCTTAACTCAGGTACTAACTTTTCCTAGATTTCTATTCACTAATAGCTTATAATGTGCATATTTTCTCATATAGCCAGGCATTCAAATTTAATCAAGTTCTATCACTGCTATGCAGCTTGTTGGTGGTAACACTGCTCTTGCTCTCGCAATGACGGCTATATCAAACTTACTGGGCATTATGATTGTAAGCAAAGCTTTGTTGCTAGTTTGTCTTCTGAACCACTTACCAGCATTACTTATAACTAACAACTTATAAACACATTATCGAACTACCGACTTAATTTTGTTGATTCATTGCAACACAATGTTTTGTTTGATGCCATTAAAAGTAATATATATTTTTTAGTATTGAAAATAACATTAGAGAAGCAAGTTATTTTTCTCCTGAGCTGAACTGATTATGGGAGGAAAATATTATTTTAGATAAAAATAGAAATTATCTTGATCAGAGATGGTTACTTGATTGCAATCCATCATCCCTGTAGAACCTTGAAGATATCTATAACATTGCCTGGGCCGTAGGCTAAAATCCAGCATTGACTATGAAACAAATTATCTTTGAGACTTCCAAGTAGCATTGAACCTCCTAATTCTGGCATTAATCTTCGTATGTATTTTCAGATAATGAGCATTGAGCAATCAACTTATTGTTTTTAGATAATAATCAAGGATGACTTTTTCCCTGTTTTCCAAAAGCCAAAACTCCTATTTCTTTGTAAAATATGTTCATATTTATTTGTGACCATGGAATTAGGTACCTCTTTCTCTTGCAAAGTACATTGGTGTTGGAGCTGGGGTGTCTTTGCCCACAGAGAAACTATTTAAAAGTCTGGTTACAACCCTTCTTATCCCCATTATTTTAGGAAAGGTATGTTGCTTTTCTTATCTTGCAAAAGATAGCTAATATGAATGCATAATTATGTGCCTGTCTTCTTTCTGGATTTTATAGTTTTCTGATGAAATAATACCTGGACTTGTTCTGCACCATATCTATGCAACTACCTTACATTATAAGCAGGTTTTTTGATGAACATTCAATTGTTTAGGCCCAATGTGTTCTAGATCTACTGTCAGCCCTTGTTTGGTAGGCTGCGATTCTGCTCCCTTCCCTGGCCTATCCACGTGGATGGGCTGGGATTGAGGTCTGTCTGAATAAGGTTTTGGCAGGATTACATTATTAGCCACCACCTGTTTGAGTAGAATTTACAGTAGAGCTTCCTAAAAAGACACAATAGAGTTCCTTGTTCATTTATTTCATGACAGTAAATAGCAGGAAAGCTCATAGGTTTTAACTGAACCGCTCTCTGTTTGAATGCATTGTCATTAGTTTCCATCCAACTCTGAATATTGAGTGTACTCCCTATCAATGTCCATCCATAGAGAGTTGCAGTTCTAACTCTTTGTTAATTACTTCATTCTCATTATTATGCTTCAGACCTATGCATTTTTTTTTTACTGTCCAAGTTTGAAATGATGGAAGCTTACTGAAGGCACTTATGATGTCTTTTGTTTGTCAGGTTGCTCGAGAAACATCAAAAGGTATGCAATCTACTTTCTTTCGGAAGAAAGTTTTGACTGTAGATTACCAGTTTGTTGAATTTTAGTTCTTATTATTGATTTATTTCCATGTAGGTATTGCTGGCTTTGTTGATGGAAATAAGCAGGGCTTTTCAGTTACAAGTGCTATTCTTCTCAGCTTAGTATGTCTCTAACATAGAAAAATATTTCGTTTAATACATTTCTTGCATGCATTTGTTGAATTTAAAAAATATTAGGTTATAATAAAGGTGATGCTTACTTGGACCAAGAGAGAAAAAAAAGGTTCAATATGGTTTCCTGTTTCAAGCATGTGTTGGATAAGTTTATGTATGAACTCTCGACTAATTGAAAGAGGGTGGACAGTGGACAAGCTAGGGAGTTATTAGTATTGTAGCTGCTTTGGCATCAAATTTTCAAATGTCTATTACTTTGGAGAAAGAGAAATGTACACATGTCATGAATACTATAAATTATTTTCATGGGTTATCTCCAAAAATTTTGCTCACCCAGATTATGTATAAATGATTTGAAATATGAAACAGGGCTCATGGACAAAGGAAATTTCTTTGTATTTGTAGCAATTTGAAAAGAGGGAACATATAGTAAGTTCAAGGTAGTGAGAAATAGCAATGAATATGCAACCTGAAAAAAAATCCACTAAATCAGGACACGTCAATTGATGAAAATAATCCACTAAATCAAGACATGTCAATTGATGAACTGAAAAAAAAAATCTCAAATAAGATGTTATCTACAATTCTAATGAACTGGTAGATGCTCTTTAGTACGGTTTGGAAAGGACTGTATCTTATTTTGAACTTGATAGGCAATACTTTTCAAAGAGCGAGAGGACCCTAACAGACAACATTTCAACTAGAGCAGAACTGAGCGGTTTTGGGCATGATCTGTTAGCATGCTTTTTCGTTGTTCCTCCTAAGCTTACATTGCCTTTTTAGTTAGGTGGTGTTCTTTTCTGATTAAGATACAGATTTTACCTCGATTTCTGTTAGCACGCTTTTCAAACGGCTAAAGAGTGTGTTTCATGCGAAAACTTTCTATATAGAAGTTGCTTTAAAATATCATATAAATCCATTTTTCAAGTTTGTAATAATTAAATCGTAATTAATCATGAGCTAATGGCTTTCTTGTTTTGCGTGCCCTAACTTCATCTTCATTAGAAAAGAACACCACCTTAGTGACGAATCAATTTCAATTTTATGCATGCACAATGTTTGTAGGACGCATTTTGAAATGCCTTCGTTTCGCAGGTCCCATGGATACAAGTAAGCAGATCAAGATCACTGCTCTTATCTGTTCAACCAAAAGCCTTTGCTGTTGCTGTCACTGTTGGAGTGTACGTTTATTTCGTAATCTTGTCATAGCAAATCTTGATATACTGATATGGAATTTAAAAACAAAATAATATTTTAATGTGATTTTGTTTTGCTGTTTACTGTATGAACTTGTATCCTTGACATCATGTTTTCATGATAGCATATTTTGTATTATTATTACTTGTGTCCTCAAAGGCATGCATGGAAAAGTTATTCTAATTTGTAGAATTTTGACATAAAAGTCATATACTCATATGTTGGTGTTATCACTTATCATTGTTAGGTAAAAAGTGTGACGCTATTACATTTATTTTCTTGCTAACAGTGTTAGTTTGGGTTTAGCACGAGATAATTTCTGTCGTGCTAAACTGCTAAGCATGGCTAAGACTTAGGCTTGATTAGAAGATAGGATCCAGACACTCTTAAGTAGACTAAATTTTTTGCTACCAGTGCTATATTTTTTTCTTCCTTGAATATACTTCTGCTGTGTATATTATTTGACAGAAGCATATTTCCTGTAATAGGCTTTTGCACTTTGCTCTGTTGGCTTTCAATGCTGCAGCATTGCATATCTTGTCACGTCTTGAACAAAGAGGAGTGTCTGTCTTTGCAAGGAATGAGTATGCTCGAGCTGTCATTTTAGTGGCCAGTCAGGTCAGTCTTTATTTTGATTAGCAGAAAATTATATTTTTGATATGTTGCCTCTTGCTGGGGGTTAGGATTTAGGAAACTACCATTGCTGGCTAGAGCATTGGTATCCCAGGTACTTAAGGAAATGCAATTTTAAATTCTTTTATGTTGGCTTTCTTGGCTGATGAGTGCACACATATGATTATCCTAAGTTTCACATTCTTTTGTCGAGTGAATATACAAGGTAAAAAGACAACTTACAAGGTAGGTGTATCTTGGCCATAGAACCGATAACTGCTCACTTTAGTCACCAATATTGTTTAAGCACATTCAAGGTCAAATCATACTGTCGCAATGGAATGCACACACATGGCGCTGATTGGGGATGCCATGTTGGACTGTTATGAACCTTATTTTGCAAGATAACATCTACATGCTAGTGTCTTTTAAAATTTTCTCAAATATGCATGTACATTGGTTGCTTATTTTGCTAATGTGGATGCATAATCAGTGTCATGTGGTCATTTTGACATGATATGCATCACCTAAAACAAGATTAGTTATGCAGATTAGTCTATGAGCTACATGCAGTCTCCTCATAAGTCGTTTTCGTGTGTTGCTATTACATTCTTTTTTCATGACACTGATATTGTTATATATGTTTTAGGCCCTTGAGTTAACTGACTTCTTTCTTGATGCTCTGTAGAAAACATTGCCAGTGCTGGTTGCCGTGGTTGAGCAGCTTGGAGGTGCTCTCGGAGAATCAGGGTTGCTGGTAATCCCATGTGTTGCTGCACATATTAACCAGGTACTTGTTGCTGATGTAGTTTTGATGTCTCTCTATTTCTATCAGGAAATGCTTTTGATGGATAAATCCTTTTGCAGATTATTATCGACTCTATCATAGTAAATTGGTGGCGCCAAAGAGATCAACAATTTGCTAATGCAAAATAAATTCAAAATGGGTAAAACAAAAAAAATAAGTAGCAAGTAACATAGAATCGTTTGGCAACGATGCCCTTTGAGTTTACCGCATATTAGTTTTTTATGATTCCGTAGGAAACAACAATGAAACTATTTTTGTGTAGAAAGTTCATTGAGTTGCTTCCATGGAGCACTTTCTGTTATGCATCAATCATACTCCATCTAGTCATAAATATGCAATGTTTAGGACAATATTCTATCAAACTTTTAAATTTCGCCATCAATTTCATATTGGAATATGTTTATGATATTATGGTGGTACTTCTTGAGACAAATCTATGTGTGTGTGTGTGTATATATATATATATATATATGTTTATATATGTTTTAAAACTAAGTATTTGAGAAATTATTGATGGTCAAAATTTTAAAGTTTGATCGAATCTTGTCATAAATGTCAAATATGTATAATTAGAGGGAGTATTCCATTTTCTATCACTCGGTAGTTTTGGTTGATAGAATAAAAAGGATAATGTAAATTCTACGCATGCTATTCTTAATGCATTTTAGAACGGTAAATAAAAAATTGTAAATTTCATTGTTGTTACACAAATTGTTGGGTGGGTGTAATATAGTGTACGAACTTGTAAAATATTCGTTATAGGCATGAAATCGTCTGATGTATGCTAACCAAGGCCAAAAGGATACTATATGGCTAATCTTGTTTTAGATGTTGATAAGGATACTACGTAAACACATCTCAGAAGGTTGCTCTTTAGACATACATTTGTCTAATAAAAAGATATAATGAGGCATAGTGATTGTAGAGAAAAATATAGTGTTACAAAATGAAATTCATTATATATAGCATATTTTATATATACTCACTACATGCGTGTATGTCATAGTTCTAATCAACATCAACTTGATAAAATTAACCATGCCAAGCTATTTTGGTCCGAACTAGATAATGATCGTGCACCAAAACAAACATTGTACAAGTTTACGTACTAAATTGCATTCACCTAATAAATTTAAAATCGTATCTTCTATTGCAAACATGATATTGTGATCCATTGAGATTATTACACAGGCTGACATTCTTTGAAACTAATTCTACCATCAAATGTATACAGATATATAGAACCATGTGTTTGAGAAACCTTCCGTGCACACCGTCATTGATAAGGTAGAGTCTATTTGTGGCGCTCAAATTCTCACGGAAGTCCCTTTTTATCTTAAATCACAAAACCGGTTATTTGTCTTCTTAAATCACAAAACCGGTTATTTGTCACTCTAAACTTCCTAAACAAGAGGCAAGCTACATATTATACAAGAGGCAAACTATGTAAGAAACCACAATGGCTTTTCTTTACACCTTGCTGATTGCTAACCTGGCATTGCTCTACATATCAGGGCCTGTTTGGTTCGCGAAAAGAAAATTTTTGGGTGTCACATCGGATGTTTGACCGGATGTTGGAAGGGCTTTTTAGACACGAATGAAAAAACTAATTTTATAACTCGCCGGGAAACCGCGAGACGAATTTTTTGAGCCTAATTAATCCGTTATTAGCACATGTGGGTTACTGTAGCACTTATGGCTGATCATGGGCTAATTAGACTCAAAAGATTCATCTCGCGATTTCCTCCCTAACTGTGCAATTAGTTTTTTTTTATTTATCTATATTTGATGCTTCATGTATGTGTTTAAAGATTCGATGTGATGTTTTTTGGAAAAAATTTTGGGGAACTAAACAGGGCCTTATACACTTATTCCTACCCCATTTTTCTCCTCCCCTCCTTTCTACTGAGGTGGAAAATGTTTGGCACACGGAGCCAATGTCATATTAGTAGCTAAAATAGAATAAAATGCTGCCGTCACAATTGATGTGACAAAAGCTACCACTAAAGGTAGTCATAGGGTGAAACTTGTCCGGTTTTTAAATGTTTGGGGTGAAAAATAACTTTTTTAAAGGTTAGGGTGAAAATTGGATTAAAGTGAAAGTTTGAGACCCAAAATAAACTTGACCCTTGTTCACATAATTGATTGGGGTCACCCCATGATAAACAACTAGGTGATACCCCGTTCTTTGCTGCGGGATTCATGGATGAGTATATGTTAAATATTATCGAAATGATAAAAGTTGAAATGTTCAAAAAATAATGTGAGGAAGATGATTTGACACGTACTGGTTGATCTCTATAATATAATATTATAGATGATGTGTCATGCTTGCATGGGTTTTAAATATGCTATAATAATAATTGTTAGTGAGTGAAGATATGTCATGCTTGCATGGGATTTTAAATGGGCTAGAATAGTAATTGCTAGTGGTGATGATGTGACATGCTTGCATGTTGAGCTTTAGCTTCTAATAATTGTTAATGCATACCAACTATATAGTACTCCCTCCGTCCAAAAAAAGACAAACTCTGAGTTTCCGTGTCCAACGTTTGACTGTCCGTCTTATATGAATTTTTTTTATAATTAGTATTTTCATTGTTGTTAGATGATAGATGATAAAACATGATTAATACTTTATGTGTGACTTGCCTTTTTAATTTTTTCATAATTTTTTCAAATAAGATGGATGGTCAAACGTTGGACACGGAAATCCAAGATTTGTCTTTTTTTTGGGACGAAGGTAGTACTTGTTGATCTCTATAATATAATATTATAGATGATGTGTTATGCTTGCATGGGTTTTAAATATGCTAGAATAATAATTGCTAGTAAGTGAAGATGTGTCATGTTTGCATGGGATTTTAAATGTGATAGAATAGTAATTGCTAGTGGGTGATGATGTGGCATGCTTGCATGTTGAGCTTTAGCTTCTAATAATTATTAGTGGGCACCAACTATATAGAAAGTATAGATTATTTCCTTTGCCACAAAATACACAATGAAAATAAAAATCTTATCTCTATGAAATGCTTTTGACAAAAGCAATTATATATATTTTGAACAAAAGTATAATCCCGTGGAAGTGTTTCCAAAATATTATGGATTGTTATTGTTTTAGCAAGACTAGGGTGGTCATGTTAATTCTGAGAAAGCAAGTAACTACAACTAAGATCCATCTACGGTTTTCATTACCAATCATAAATTTATCTTCTAATCATTTTAATCAATTTAATTTTTTATCACTAAAACAATGGGGAGGTACTATACCTCTCGAAGAACAGAAGTATATCTTAATAAATAAACAACCAATAAATCTAAATGTAAAACTATTAGAATTGAAGGGGGGAAAGAGCAAATCTACTTGAAACTCTTATAATACCATGAAGTGTCCTTTCAAAAGAAAATACCATGAAGTGCATTTTATGTGGCATTTACCCACGTTTATTTTTTTTTTCATACTACCAGCGGTGAGGTAGCCAACACCAAATTGTATGGAATAAATGGGGCTATAAAATTTTATTAGCAAAACAATCATACAAAGCATCAGGAGATCTGGTGATTCTGGTCATGTCTTCGTACCTACCCCAGTAAGGAAGAATTCGGGAACTGGTACGTCAGAGCAGTGGATAAGGAAGAACTAGTGTTGAGCGGCATTGCAGTTAGAGGAAAAATGAAATTGACTGGCTAGGAGGCGACAGAGATTGGGGAGAAAACATGCATGGTAGGAGAAATTGGAGGTAGAAGAAACACTATTAGCCATTTTTTTTTACTCAAAGACCGTGGGGGAAGCCCCCACGGTTAAATTATATTAAAGAAGAAAAATAAGAAGTACACAAAAAAACAAAAGAAGAAAGCTAAGATTACAGATTGTCAATCCATGATTGAACCGTGGGTCTATAAACTTCTTTGAACCTAATTAAATGTAGGCTCAAATCCTCCTTCAAACCCTTCATCCAATTGTGAACTGATGGCTGAATACCTTGAAAAATAAGGCCATTTCTTTCATTCCATATATTCTAGGTTGCCAGTAGAAATAGTTCCATAAAACTATGCTGAGAAAAGAAATTTCTTTGAACCTGCAACATTTGATGGAATTCTAATGAAGAGTTCCAAACCTAGCCCAACTTTCTCCAACATGACTTGCTGAACTCACATTGAAAGAAGAGATGTTCCCTTGTTTCTCTTGCATTAACCCCACACGTCAAGCAATAAGCAGTGGCATTCAAAGGAATACAATGTTTCCTGTCAAGAAGCTCCTTGGTATTCACTCTATCCATCAACAGCAGCCACCCAAAGACTTTGATTTTCATGTTGAGCTTACTTTGCCAGATCCAATTAAATGAACAAGGGGGAGATAAGGACCAAAAGGAGAGCTTATAAAATCGTTGATGAGCATTTAAGTATAATCGTGTAAGTTCTACAACTAATACCGTACAATTCCACAATTGTTGGTCAAAGCCTTCCACTATCCTCATCCACATAACTATGAAGAAAATATAAAATCATTTTTGATAAAATGGATTGTCATCTCACCTATCACATTAGAAATGCCAGATGGCAGGGAAGGAATATGGGAATTGCGGATCACACGACACTGGCCAAATCAGTACTCTCTTCATAACCAATGTATCCCCTTACGACACTTAAAGGCCACCAAGAAATCCATAGAAGTGCTTGACAAATAGAGAAAGCGTTTTCTATGAGCAGGACAGAAAACATATCAGAAAAAATATGCAAGGTTAATTAAATGAGAACGTGTCTACCAACTACACACGGTGGACTAGGGGTGTTAAACCTGGAGAAATTTGCAAGGATGTTATAAGTGATCAGGAGGCTATGGCATGAATGAATGCACAGACATGGGTTGAATTGGACACCGCATGTGAAGGTCCTGATATACTTCTATCCGCAGCAGCCACAACAATAATAATAGAAGATGGGGCCATTGCCAACTTGTAAGATTTAGCTTGGATGCATGGCACGTGTCCAAAGGATGTTGCACCAAGAGTATATGCATTCTTCAGAAGAAAAAAATAGAGCCTTGAAGTAGGCCAGTAAACACAACACATAGATACAAGATCTCAACCTCTTACCTAATGGGGGTATGACCATTGTGCTCTTGGACTAATTGATCACCTTATGAAGCACAATAAAAGAAGTGCACGTACCTTGCTGCCGACAAACATGATGGAATCACTTGGAAGCTCACACAAGCCATGGGGAGTATAAGGCGGGATCCGCTTACAAAGCATCGTTTTTGGCTCTATCAACACGAACTACGAGATGATTATCTGAAAGCCCTAAGCATCGAAGAAATGCAAGATCTTCACTTGGCTAATCGTGCAGAATAGAGTGTGAACATCTAAAAAACTAGATACATGCGGTTAGTCAAACAATACCTATTGCTTGCTTTGTTGGCATACCTTGGTGATGTCCTTCCATCTTCTAACGGGACAAAGATACACAAAGAGAACATGGATCTCGCTTGAGCAGATCAAACTGATAATGTGGAGCATAGCTTTGACAGTCCATGAGTGGTGGAAGGCGTTAGCTGCTAACACGGGTCTACCAAAGAAAAGGTGTTTGCATCATCATTTTACTTACAACACGTGAAATCTGAAAGGGGAGAAACTAAAGAGTATCCCAACATAAGAAATGTTTAGCAATAGCGCGACGAAGATCGAGGATGCCAAAATCTATGCCCTACCAAGTAAAAATGATTCTTTGATCTTGTCCTCTTAAATTTATT